TCCTTCAATGATACCAGGAACTCAACAATCGAGCCCCTCAAGGGTCCTTGATCCGATGGCTAAGAATCTTCGCAGGTTCGATAGTCGGCTCGGCGAGCGGTCGGATGTTTGGGTTGGCTCAGTGATGTGGTAATCTGCTAGTGCTGGCAACGTACAGTCGGAGCAGTCACACGTGAAGTGATGGGCTGACATTCCATGTGGTAGGCAATAGTAGATGGGCTGTAACGAGGGCTATCATATGGCTAATTGTGAATTGTCCACAGTAACGTGGGCGGTGTTTGAGACTATGGGCAGTCGAAGGTTCTGAGTGGCAAGCAGTACTAAGTCTTCGCCTTGGTAAGTCATTGCCCGACGGTGTAGGTTCGCGCATTTAATGGCTTGTGCTGCTCGCTCTTGGGCTCGCTCTTGGGCTTTCTGTCATATTTCGGGGCACTGCTCGGCTCGGGGTACAGGATTGTCGATGTTGGTGTGATGGGTACTGTGGGGTCTTGTACATAATTCAGGTAGAATGGCGGCTGTCTTGTAGTGGGTGACGGGGCATCGTTATATGCGAAATCAATCAATGGCAGTTGCTGCTCCAAGTCAGCCACGTCGTCGCAAGTTGTGCGAATCAGCTGTTCCGTCATCTAACTGGCTCGTTTGGTCTGTCCGTCAGTCTTGGGGTGATATGCAGAGGAGAATTGTAGGCGTCTGCCAAACTGGTCCCAAAGGTTGCCCCAAAAGTTGCTGGTGAATTTCATGCCACGATCGAAAATAAGGGTGGATTCGATTCTGTGAAGTCAAACGACGACCGAGATGAAGAGGCGGGTTGTTTCTTTGGTTGAGATGCTTTTCTTGTAGTTGGAAAAATGAGCCATCTTAGTCAGCTTGTCAATCACGATAAATATCGCGTCATTGCAACCATCCTTGGCAGGCAGTCCTGTGACGAAATCCATTGTCACCTGCTGCCACGCACATTCAGCGGTGGAATCGGCTGCAACTGTCCAACTAGCTTCTACTTCGACGACGTCATGGTTTAGCAGGTTCTGTACGAAACCACATGCCGCTGCACATCTCCTTGCAAATCGAGCGAGAAATAAAATCTGGTTAACAGTTGCCATATCTTTTCCACTCCGAAATGTCATGAAACAGTACTGTCGTGGGCTTCTTGCAGTAATAACTCCCGTAATAGACTGTACTCCGGTACCCAGATGTGGCCACTCTTTGCCTTTGTATAATAAACTCCATTAGCCGTTGCAAGCTATTTGTACGCACCCGATGTAAAGAATCCGTTCGTCTGGTACCCGTGGGTAAATAGGCCTGTTAATATCGGGGAAGTTTGGGCGAGGATGATTGAGTTGAGGTGGGCGGATGGGCGGGAAAGGGAGTCTGCAATGTTGGATGCCCCCTTTTTGTAGGTGACGGTGTAGTGGAAATTGGATTCCATAAAATCCAATCACCGTGTTGAGCAGTGGCTGTGGACGGATGTACAGTACTGTAGGCTTCGATCGTACTGTCACGTCCGCTCCTGTTAGGTAGCACCGCCACACTTTGAAAGAGTGCACGATAGCGAGCATCTCCCTGTCATCTATCGGATAGTTTCGCTCGGGCGGATGTAACTTTCATGACTCGTACGCGATTGGCTGCAGACTGTCGCCGAGGTCTTGTAACCGTTTTTCTCCGATTGCGATGTTGCTGACGCCAGTTATGACTCCGATAGGACGTTGAGGATCGGCGGTTCGAAGGACATGGGTTGAGTACAGAGAAAAAAAAGAGAGCAGAGAAGGCAACTTGCTCTTTCTCCCCCCACGTATACCCAATCCCTTTCCATAGCAGGTCGTCAACGCTGCAGTTACCCCCGCCATATTTGGGACAAATCTCCAAACATAATTTACGAACCCAAAAAAACTTTGCAGCTCTTGCAAGTTCGAAGGCGGTAGCCAGGCTTGCACGGTCTTGATCTTACGCGAGTCCACTTCGATGCCCATAGTGGAAACGACATAACCTAAAAATTCGAACCTGTCCTTAAAAAACTCGCACTTGTACCCCTTCGTGAGCGTTGACGATGCTCCTATAGTAGCGTGAAAACTGATTCGATATGCTTTAGGTACTGCTCCTGGGTCTCACTGTGAATCAGGATGTCGTGTAGGTAAACTATAACACGCTTATCTACGAGCGGGCTGAAGATATTATTCATGGTCATTTGAAAAGTCGCGGGGGCGTTCGTGAGTCCGAATGGCATAACTACATACTTATAAACTCCCGTACCTAGTACAAGACGCGGTCTTGTGACAGACAGCTGCGACTACGCGGATTTGGTAGTAGCCCCCTTGTAAATCTATTTTCGAGAAGAAGCGAGCTATGCAAAGTTTATCGATCAATTCATCGGCGCTAGTGATGGGGTAACGTGACTTGATTGCCACTCACTTCAGTGCTCTGTAATCAGTGCACGTTCGGTACCCTCCGTTCTTCTTGAGGGTGAACAGTATTGGGGTGGCAAATGGTGATGAGCTCGAGCATATGTGTGTGTTTTTTTTTATTATTATTTTTAATAAGTAATCCAAATGCTTATGTCTTTTTTCTAGCTCCGGTTGTGTCAATCAAAATTGCCGCTGAACAATGGGTTGTGTCCCTTGTTCAGATTCGATTCGATGGTCGAAGGGTCGTTCTGGTGGTAATCCCTCGGGCAGGTCATCATGAAATATTTGCGAAAATGTGTGAATCACCTATGCGAGGCCGGCCGACACTGGTGCCATCGGCTTCTCTAAATTGGACGGTTGTGATGTCATGTCGACCGCACGAACGACTATAGCGAAGAGTTCTGCTCCCCGTGGGACTACTCGTTTTTAACGCCATGGAGTTCACATGCGTTACTCCCGCTGTGATCCCCTTCGTCCATTCTTATTGCTAGTGGGGTCCCGTCGACTAGTCGGGCGTTGATCTTGGGTAGACACCTATTTAGGGGTAACTTCCGTCCATAAGATTTTATTATTTTCCCCTTGAACCCTACCCTCTAAATTAATGGGGTCATCTGCTGCTGCACCCTCCTTATTCAGCCGGGTTTGGTCGATCGCGTGAATTAGTACCAGAACTCGATGACGTTCGTTGGTCACGGGCGAGCAGGTTCCATCAGTAGTAGGCCCGTCAACTATTGATACAAAGCGTTTCCTTGATCGTTGGAACTACCTTGCCCCTGACCCCGCTTCTTCTGCTCCTCTGGGCATTCCGATGTGCAGTGTCCCGACCTGTTACACCCGAAACACCGACCCTTGAAAGCTGTAACTACTGACTTTGAGGTTGTAACAGCGTGTAAAGTGGCATGCTCGATTGGTCCCCGAGTGCGGTTTCTGTCGTAGGAACCTACCCTTGGTTTGTAGAAAGAATCCAACCACTCTGCAACCCTTTGTGCCTCCATCAAATCTGTAATTTCTCGCACTTGTAATTCTCGACGCTGATCCGGTTGAAGGCCCCCAATGTATCTGTCGAGTTTTTCTTCAGGGTGAATGTAGCCGACCTGGTCGCACAGGTTTTGAAGTTGTTGGTGTAGTCCTGGATCGATCCGAGTTGGCGCCACATGCGAAGGCGATCGTGCGCGTGACTGATTGCATTGTTCCGTGTTTGAAGCGGCGACGATTGCCACGTCCTGTACTCGTCCACCTTGCAAAAACTTCCTGCCCAGTGATTGGTTGTGTGGAAACGCCTGATTACGTGCGACGTCGTATCCAGCTCCTGCGACTGAAGTATCTGCTGTCACCAATCCATCGTCGATCTGCGTAGCATGCAGACAGCGTATCAAATCTTTTCAGAATCTTCAACCGCGAGGTTGTAGTCGTAAAAAACGTTCAGATGGGAAATCCTTCCGGTGACAGACAAACTGCCGTGCTGGTTTGGGTCGAATATGGGCGGCCTCTGCGTTTTGTGTATTCCCGGCGCCATGTTGATGTTTGCAGTTTGCAGGCCGGCGAGAGGGGTAATTTGGGGCGGCAGGTTGATATTCGCCCCTTCGCCAACTTCCGTTCGTCCAATGATCGATAGTGGGTTTTTCGTGGAGCCCTCGGGCAAAGTTCCATGTGGCGGCTGATTGTCGCCAGGTATTTCGGAACGCTGCTGAGTACTGTAACTTGCTTATTTTGTCCTTGGTTTGTCATTTGCGGGGTTGTGTTGTGTCGTGTCTGGGGCATCAGTGCTGCTTTCTCGAATTCAGTTTGAGTTGTTTCAGCTCGCAGCCGCGCCAACTTCTGTTGATACAACTCGTTAGTAAGACTCCCTTCCTTTAGTGCTGCCGACATTTCTTCAGTAGTCATGGCATTAGTTGATGACAGCTGCACAATTTCGTGGAAGTTTTGGGCGGCTTTCGACACGCTGGTACAGCGAACACAGTCATGGTTGTAAGTAAATATCGATTAATATTACCAAGACAGCTGATATGTAGTAAGCGCAGGGCGTCAGCCTCCTTAAGTACCCGTATTGCAGCGGAACTAGAGCGCAAGGCTGAGGATCGTTGGCTCTGATACCAAATGTAATGAAGCGCAAATAGCGTGCGTCGAATAGTTGAGTAGTGAGGGAACAATACAATGAGGCAACATAAAAACAATAGAGAGTCTGGATATAGCTAGGCCTAGAGCACACGGGCGAGGCTTGGCAGAGCTGAGACGTGTGGCTTGTAAATTGGCGGCGCCCATATCTAGGCATGAAACTGCAAGCAAACAAAATGCATGCGGCTCATCAAGAGAGCACCATTGGGTGCTGCGATTGAATTTCGTGGCAGAGCTGCGGGACAACCCCTTTATAGCAGTGTATGCCTTACTAACTAAAACCTGGGATAAGGAAATACCATTTTCTTACACATGCACATGAGTGAGCTCTAGGATTGATATTGTTTTTTATATTTCGCGATACATTCCCCCGAGTCTTTTTCAGGAACCACTCCTTACCGAGGACGAACCAAGCACTCTCCCCTTGGGATCACCCAACCATCATCTCCCTCCCCTACAAAAGCCCTCCAAATCTCCTGCTGCTTCGAGGCGCCACAGCCTGCTAAGTCTAGGTGCGGTCTTCTGCATCCTCTTATCTCACAACCTCATCCATACTCGCCGATCTCTTCGATCCTCTCCCTCGCTATCCCTCCGACTGGTCCCGCTTATCCGTGTGCGATGTCGTTCGCCGCATCTTCCGCCGTCATTTCCCCCTCTACCGCTGCGTTCCCGCCACTCATGCGCGCTCAGGATAGATCAGCGCAGCCGCGACCCCGCGGGCCTCCGCCAGTCCCCGCAACCTCCGCTTCCGCTTCCGCTTCCGCTGCCGCTTCCGCCTCCCCGTCCCCCGCTATGCGCCGGCACGCTCCGCAAGCGACGTCACAGCGCGCCAAGCCGCGGGGGGCAAGGAGGCGGGTGGCATGCCAAGCCGGTAGCGGGCGGGGGGAGGGATCCGGATCGGAGTTTCCAAACCCCGCGGAACTTCCGCCAAAGGCGGCGGAGGAGGAGGCGCGGAGGGACGGGGAGAGCCGCGCGGAGATGATTCGCGCAGAGGCGATTAAACTACGGGAAGAGGAGGAAAGGAGGCTGTACGGGGTAAGTCGTTTCGCGTGAAATTTATTTCAAAGTCCGTCCGTCAACGCTAACCCGGTTGATAATAAATAAATAAATGAATAATATGAAATTTAAAAAAAAAAAAAAAAAAAAAAAGAAACAAAAAAAACAAACAAACAAAACGGTCTGCTATGTAAATGCGACTAAGCGTGTGCATTAGTAGCGGGTTCAACTCAAGTTGCTGCATGCTTCTGCGCGAATGCAGACTAAGTCGTTCCGCGAATGTCTTCCCGCGCTCTACCCCCATGCGCTCATATCCCCCCTCCTGCGCCTACCCTTTCCGCGCCATCCGCCGTTTCCAGGAGCCTGGCGCTGCGCCACGGGAGTTAGTCGAGGCGGCGGTGGCGGAGGAGGAGGCGGAAGGGGAAGCGGACGGGGAAGGGGAAGGACTTATGAAGAAAGTGGAAGCTTCTAGCCAGTCTGTCGCTTCAGCGGGTGGGAGCAGCCTGACCCGAGGGTCTTTGCGTGAACAGAGGGAGGAAGGAGAAGTGGAGGAAGAGGAGGAAATAGAAGTAGAGGAGGAGGAGGAAGAGGAGGGATCAGAAGTAGACGAGGAGGAGTACGAGGAGGAAGAGGAGGGGGAGGATGAGGAGGATGAGGAAGAAGAAGAAGAAGAGGAGGAGGAGGAGGAGGAGGAGGAGGACGAGGAGGACGAGGAGGCGTCGTTCGACATGCGCATGGTGACGGCCATGGCGGAGGCGGGCGAGGAGGGGGGCGCGGGCGCGCTCACGGTGGCGGAGATACTGGAGGACGCTGGGGTAGAGCCTTTGGACGTGGACGGGGACCTGACAGTGGAAGTGACAGGCATTCAGGCCGACTCCAGGTGGGTGGTGCTGCTGCTGGGACTGAGGAGTCTATTTTTGAGGCGCCTCAAAAATAGACTCCTCACGCATGGATGTTTTTATAGGCGCCTAAAAAATGTGGAAGTGACAGGCATTCGGGCCGATTCCAGGTGGTTGGTGCTGTGTATTTTATCATCTAGATAGTGTTTGAGCCACGATTACTGGGCGGCCACGAAGTGAGGGAGTCATGTCTGGGCGGGTGCTGGAACTGGGTGGGTGCTGAACTGGGTGGGTTGTCTGCATGGTATTATCTAGATAATAGTTGAGCCATGATCACAGCCTGGCAATTCCATTCCCCCACCCCCCGCCCTTATCCCCTTCCCTCCCTGCCGTCCTCCCCGTCCTCCTCCACATCTTCCTCCCTCTTTGGCAGGGAGGTGAAGCCGGGCGACCTGTTTGTGTGCGTGGTGGGGCAGCAGACGGATGGGCACATGTACGTGGGCGACGCAGCGGAGAGGGGCGCTGCTGCCGTGGTGCTGTCGCGGGGGGACGTGGAGGTGGATGAACGGGTGGACGCTGTGGTTCAGGTGGGTGCAGAGCGGTGCTGCTGGGTAGTGTGCGGCTGGGTCGTGTGCCGCTGAGGAGCAGTGGTGTGGTGCTGGAGTGGCGTTTTGGTGTGGCGGTCGTCCACATGTTAATGTAGTGGACACTGGACTCTAGGTTCCCGGGCTTGCTGGCCTTGCTGTCTACCTTTGCTGATCTTATCGAGTGCCTGGTGCATATCGCACGGCGTGGTATGGCATGGCGTGGCATGCGACGGCATGGCATGATATGACATGGTGCATGGTGCATTGTGCCTTGCAACTACCAGGTGGAGGACACGCAAGGAGTGCTTTCGGCACTAGCAGGCGCATTCTACGACCACCCATCGGAGAAACTTGCCATGGTATGCACTCTATTCTGCCATGTTACATACGAACTATCATCGGCTGCCATCCTATCTACGTTCTCCTTCCATCGTATGGATGCATTCACTGGTGATGGACGGGTATGATGGGAGGGAATGGACGGTCCTCGTTAGTCCACTGCTTTTGAGTCGACTCAAAAGCAGGGTATGATGGGAGGGAATGGACGGTCCTGGTAAATCCACCACCTTTTTCTGCCCCTCCCCCTGCCCCCCTCCCTGCTCCCCTCCCTGCCCCCCTCCCTGCCCCCCTCCCTGCCCCCCTCCCTGCCCCCCTCCCTGCTCCTATCCCTGTTCCTCTCCCTGCCCGCCTCCCTGCCCCACTCCCTGCTCCCCCCCCTGATCCCCCCCTGCTCCCCCCCATGCTCCCCCTCCTGCTCCTCCCCCTGCTCCCCCCCCTGCCCCTCCCCCCCGCCCTGGCAGGTGGGGCTGACGGGCACGAACGGCAAGACGACCACGACGTACCTCATCAAGAGCATCTACGACGCCATGGGCGTGTCTGCAGGGCTGCTCGGCACCATCAGCTACAAGTAATGCCGCACCCCTGCACCCCTGCCCCCCGCACCCCGCACCTTCATGTGCCATGCCATGCCACTCCGTGCTGTGCTGGGCCAGTAGTTTCTCTGTCCACTCTTCCTTCATCCCGCCTCCTGTAGTCAACCCCCCCACCCTCCCCCTTACCACCCCCGCCTTTCATCCAGTTATCCCCGATCCCTCCCCTCCTCCCCTCTTTCCCCCTCTCCCCTCCCCCCGTCCCCCCACGACCACCCCATGGTGCTGCTCCTCTCGCCTGCAGAATCAAGGACCAGGAGCTGGAGGACCCCAACACGAACCGGGACGCCATTCTCCTGCAGAAGCTGCTCGCCCAGATGGTGGACGCGGGGTGCGAGGCGTGCGTGATGGAGACTTTTGAGTCGACTCAAAAGGCGTGCGTGATGGAGGTGTCCTCTAATCGATTCCCCCTGCCCTCCCTCCCTCCCCTCGCCACACCCCATGCTACTGCGCCACTCGTTTGTTTGCAGAATCAAGGACCAGGAGCTGGAGGCCCCCAACACCACTCCAGACGCCATTCTCCTGCAGAAGCTGCTCTCCCAGATGGTGGACGCGGGGTGCGAGGCGTGCGTGATGGAGGTGTCATCGCACGCGCTCACCCTTGGGCGCGTGGCGGACGTGGACTTTGACGTGGCGGTGTTCACCAACCTCACCAGGGACCACCTGGACTTCCACGGCACCATGGAGGAATACAGAGACGCGAAAGCGAGGCTGTTTGACGCCATGACGGACGCCAGCAGGCACAGGAAGGTGTGTGTGTTGGTGGGTGGGTGGGTGGGAGGCAAAGGTGGTCTTTCACATGCGACCACCTGGACTTACACGGGCACCATGGAGGAATACAGGGATGCAAGAGCACGGCTCTTCAATGCCATGACCGACGCCAGCAGGCACAGGAAGGTGGGTGGGATGGAAATGGGGGGATGCACTGGCCCACTGACCCACTGGTCCTCTGGTCCACTGGTGCACTGGTCCACTGACCCACTGGTCCACTGGTCCACTGGTCCACTGGTTGGTCCACTGGTGCACTGACCCACTGGTGCACTGATCCACTGATCCACTGGTCCACTGGTCCACTGGCTCTAGACGAATCCAGATGACAACCATGTGTTCTTCTTCATGTGTCACCGCAGCCTCACACCCGTTCCCCCAGCCCCCACAACCCACCACTCCCCACTTTCCCCCACGCAAAAACTTCACCCCCTGCCCCCTCCCCCCCTTCCCTTCTCCCAATCCTCGACCCCTTTTCCCCCCAGGTGGTGAACCTGGACGATCCCCAGGCGTCGTTCTTCATGTCTCGCGGCGGGGCGGACGTGCCCACCATCACCTTCTCCCTCGAGAACACTCTCTCCCCCCCCCCCACCACACCCATACCCACAAAATTCTCCCCCTTCCCCGCTTCCCCTTTCCCACACCCCTGCTTCCTCTCCTTCCCCCCCCCCCAGGTGGTGAGGTGAACCTCGACGACCCCCATGCAGAGTTCTTCATGGCGCGTGGCGGCGCGGACGTACCCACCATCACCTCCTCCACGGACGGACCTTCTCCCTCGAGAGCACTCTCCCCCCCACCTCCTCCCCCGCCTCGGCTGCTTCTTTCCCCCCCCCCCCCCCACCTGTCCAGGTGGTGAACCTGGACGACCCCCATGCGGAGTTCTTCATGTCTCGCGGCGGGGCGGACGTACCCACCATCACCTTCTCCCTCGAGAACACCCAGGCGGACGTGCACGCGCTTGAGGTGGCGCTCTCGCTCTTCGAGACTGAACTGCTGGTCCGCACGCCCAGGGTGAGTTGACAAGAACGTGCAAGGGGTGGGGTGGGGTGGGGTGGGGTGGGGAGTGTAGGGTGGAAGAAGAGGCGGACGTGCCCACCATCACCTTCTCCCTTGAGACCACCCAGGCGGGGGTGTGCACGCGCTGGAGGTGGCGCTCTCTCTCTTTGAGACGGAGCTGCTGGTCCGCACGGCCAGGGTGAGTAGGTGGAGTCAGGAGGGGAAGGGGCGGAGGGGGAACATCCGGGGCAGGCATGCACGCGCTGGAGGTGGCACTCTCGCTCTTTCAGACCGAGCTGCTGGTCCGCACGGCCAGGGTGAGTGGGTCATAGGCTATGAGTGGAAGGTGGAGAACCACATAGGTAGAGAGCACATAGGTAGAGAGCACATAGGTAGAGAGCACATAGGTAGCGAACATAGAGCTACTAACCGCTGGAAAGTGGCCGGCGGAGGCTCGCCCCTATCCTCTTCCAGGGCGCCCTAGAGAGCTCGTCCGGTCTTCTGGTTCGCCACAACGTGTCCAACATCCTGCCCAACATCCTGGCGGCAGTAGCAGTGGGCATCGCGATCAACGCGCCCCTCCTTCCCATCGTCTCCCTCTCCCCCGCCTTCAAACGGGAGGAGAGAAATCGACCCACCTTAAAACTCGCTCCTCCCTCCCCTCACCCCTCTCCCCCACCCCTTCGCCCTCCCCACTCCCCCCCCAAAGGGCGACCTGGAGATTTCCTCGGGTTTGCTAGGTCCTCACAACGTGCCCAACATCCTGGCAGCAGTAGCGGTGGGCATCGCCATCAACGCCCCCCTGGAGACCCTCGTCCGCGGACTGGAGGAGGTGGACGCCGTGCCCGGCCGCGCCGAGCTGGTGGACCAAACAATCAACCCACCCCACACTGCTTTTCCTTCCTTCCCTTACCCCGCATCCCCCACTTACCCCCGCTCTTGCCCCTCCCTGTCCCTCTCCCTGCTTTTTCCACTGCCCCCCCCCCCCCCACTACTCCCAGGGCGACCTAGAAATCTCCTCCGGCCTTCTCGGGCGGCACAACGTGTCCAACATCCTGGCGGCAGTAGCGGTGGGCATCGCCATCAACGCGCCCCTGGAGGCCCTTGTGCGCGGACTGGAGGAGGTGGACGCCGTGCCGGGCCGCGCCGAGCTCGTGGACGAGGAGCAGGCGTTTGCCGTGGTGGTGGACTATGCCCACACGCCGGACGCGCTCAGCCGCCTGCTGGATACTGTTAGGGAGTGCGGGCCCCGGCGGATCATCACAGGTGGGTGGGCGAAGTTGTCGGCTCTCTCTTCCCCCCCCCTCACTTCCTCCAGTCACACCTCCCCACTCACACACACTTTAGACCTTCACATCCTTTCGTCCGTCTTCCCTCCCTCCCTTCCTCAACCCCCCCCCCCTTTCATTGCCACCACCAGCTGTGGGATGTGGCGACGAGAGGGGGCCGGTGCAAGCGACTGATAGTGGCCAAGATACACGCCACTCGACTCTTAGTGTACTTCCTTGCTCGTCCCTCTTCCCTCTTCCCTCCTCTACACTCCCTGTCCCCTCCGTTGCCACCATCAGTGGTGGGGTGTGGCGGCGACAGGGACCGGGGCAAGAGGCCGATGATGGCAAAGATAGCAGCGGAGAAGAGCGACGTGACCATTCTCACATCAGACAACCCCCGCACCGAGGACCCTTGTAAGGCCCCGGGTAGTCGTTAGGTGAGTCCTTCACCTACAGCGCGAAGGGTATTGCATGCTGTGATGCGTGTGTGCATGCATGTGGGCACTGTCTGTCGAGAGCGAAGAAGAGCGATGTGACCACTCTCACGTCCGACAGCCCCCGCACCGAGGACCCCTGTAGGGCCCGGGGCAGTAGTAGGTGAATGCTTTTGAGTCGACTCAAAAGCAGACCCCTGTAAGGACCGGGGTAGTAGTAGGTGAATGTCTCACCGGCAGCACCAAGGGTAGTGCGCGCTGTGATGCGTGCGTGTGTGCAAGCGTGCGTGCGTGCGCATGTGGGCATGTGGGCTTGTGGGCACTGTGTGTCCAGAGCAGAGAAGAGTGATGTGACCATACTCACTCACGGCGGCCAACCCGTGCGTGGAGGACCCCTATAAGGCCCTGATCCATGAGCTGAGAATATCCTCGCTGCTGCCCTCGGGCAACCGCCTCTATGTCTATGACATCCTGGCACGAGTGCAGTGGACCGTGGAGGAGTAACTTGCATGCCTTCTTCTTTCCCACGGAGAGACTCCTTCCTACCTCGCCTGCTCCTTTTTAATCCCGTGTCTCTCGCTCCCCCTCCCTCCCTCCTTTCCTCCCTCCCTCCCTTCCCCTCTCAGTGGGCATATTGGACGACATGTTGGCGGGCGTGGGGTGGAGCATGGAGGAGCACCTTGAGTGTCTTCCCCTCTCCCCTGTGCCATGCCCATTCCTTAACCGCCCTCCTTGCCCTCATGCCACCATGCCCTCGTGTCTCCTCATCTTGCAGTGGGCATACTGGATGACATGCTGGCAGGCGTGGGGTGGAGCATGGAGGAGTATGTCGAGTACAACCAGGCGGGCTTCATCCCGCCTCTGCCCTCGGGCAACCGCCTCTATGTCTACGACATCCGTGGCATTGCTGTGCGCGCTGCCATCGCTATGGCTGATGATGGCGACGCTGTGGTATGTGCGGGCAGAAGGGGGGAGGGGGAGTGTTGAATATGTGCCTGTCTATCACATCAGCAGCATTGCTGTGCGCACCGCCATTACCATGGCCGATGATGGGGGCGCCGTGGTATGTGTCCGTGCTGGTGACAGGGAAAGGGGGTGGGGAGGGGGAGGGTGGAAGAGGGGGAGGGGGCGGGAGAGGAGAAGGCATGGAGGGGAGTAAATGGTTAAGGGGGTGGGAAACTTGGGGTATGTGGTACTGGATGGAGTGGGGGAAGGGGGGGGGGGGGGGGGAGAAGGGAAATGGAAACCGTCTATCTGTCTGTGTTGCTGCCAGCATCCCCCTCCCACCCCCCTCGCTGTCTTCCTTTCCCCACTCTCCCCCTCCAACATCCACCCCACTCTTCCCTTCCCCCTGAGGTGGTGACGGGCAGGGCCATGAGACGTACCAGATAGTGGGGCAGGAGAAGACTTCAGTGTCGACTCAAAAGTCAACCCTGCTCCTCCCCCCCTCCCTCCCTCTCTCATTCTCTCCCTCGCTCCCCTGCACAGGTGGTGGCGGGCAAGGGCCACGAGACGTACCAGATAGTGGGGCAGGAGAAGACCTACTTTGACGACCGGGAGGAGTGCCGGGAGGCGCTGCAGCACGTGGATGAGCTCAGGACACACTTCGACACCTCACAGCTGCCATGGCGGTGAGTGCTTAGGCATGCTCTGCTCTGTCATCCGCTGTCATACTTGGTCATGCTTAGTGCATGCATGCCCCTCGCATGTTGTGTATCTTTTTATGGTAGCTCCTGCTTATGAATTTTGATTTCTTGTTGCAGGATTCTTGACATGAGCGACATGAAGGTCATTCCTGATCCTGATGCCAATGCATACTGAAGACATTGCTTTTAGGGGTTTGCAGAGTAGTTACAGGTGGTAGTAGTAGAGCACAAATTATGCTGGTCATGAAGATCGTTTTTCCACAAGCTGATTTGTGTGATGTGAAAGGCGGGGGAGTTCGAGATTGTTTTTCTCAGCAATTGTTGATACTGTTTTGACAACTACCTATGTCACGTCATAGCTCACTGGATGGTATGTGGGAATCAGTTCAGTGCTACCCACTACTACATCCCTTTTCAACTAAGGCACAGCGTCATGAGCTGAAACAGGTGCATTGCCCAACACATGGCTCACCACCTTCTACTGTTAAAGAGCCCAAAACATAGTACCGGTACCTAGAAACATCTGCCTACAACCTCCCACTACAAGCACACGCATGGCACATGGGTATGGTAAGAGTACTTGAGCAGATCTTCATTCCAGAAAACTTGCTGCTACTAGCCCAAGTTCCCTCTGTCACTCACCCTACAGCACAGCACAGCCGATCTGAAGGGTCTGTAACTCAGCGTCACCCATCCAGCAGCTTCCGGCACATAGGGAAGCCTCTAGAACTAACTCTGGCCTCAATTCCACCTGCTCACACGCCGCCTGCCGCCTCCAGTAAGGGCACCAGCTTGCCTTGCCGATTCAAGGCGTCCGTGTCTGGCAAGCAGCAGCAGGGACGGATGGCAGAGGAGAGGAGAGGAGAGAAGCGTTAATCCAACAGCAGCAGCAGCAGCAGCAGCAGCAGCACAACAGTTGAATTAAGAAAGGACGACGCATGAGCCCTACTGGGGTTGCTTACCGTCACATCCGCCTATATGTTGCCCGTTAATGAACACGCTAGGCACTGTGCGTTGACCAGTCATCTGTGCCAGCGCTTGCTGCATGGCGGCTCCCTCGGGGTCGTGGTCAAGCTCAATAGCCTAGTGGATATGGCGAAGGGGAACGGGAGGGATGGTATGTAAGGTGAGAATAAGGCATAAGGAAGGTGGAGGGAGGGTTGACGTAAGTAAGCAAAAATTCACTGAATACGAAAGCGGCCATGTGCCGGAAGTGTGTAAAAAGGGCCACCTACCTTGAATTTTGCGTTGAGCTTAGTGAGGATTTGTTTAACGCGGACGCAATACGGGCAGTATGTCTTGCTGCACGGGGCGAAACGGGAGAGGGGAAACGGAGGCGATATGAAACGACGAGTTCGTGCAGAGCTCGTGCAGAGATTTGTGTAGCCTTCTTCAGAGGCTCGACTCTAGGGCCCTTCAGCTCGTGGCACTGAACTGATCAAGGGGATGAGATGCTCCGGAACGTCAGCGGACCTCGAACAGTATATTACCGGGTTTTCAAACCAAACCCAAAAAAAAGGGAATCGCAGTCACCTGAAGACGACGACAGCGTTCTCCGCAATGATCTTCCTGATGTCTTTCATGGTTACTGCCGACTGCTAACAACGTTCGAAAAGGAGCTGAGCGGAACGACAAGTCTGAACGTCCAACGTTGGAGAGTCAATGGACGGGGTTGGTGGTGGTGACCGCCGTGACCCCGAGGAAACTCGCTCAGGTTTTAGTGATCAGTGTGACAGGCAGTGGCAATACTGCATGCAGAAAGCTGATCAGGGCAGCGTTTGGAAGAGACTGGTTGAGGCGTGTTCAACTCGCTTGACTCGAAGGGGTTGAGCTCTCCGGTTGGCCCTAATTTATGCGGATCGTTCTTCAAAAAGTTTTAGAACTGTGTTTGAGTGGTTTCTAGGGCAGTGGGAAAACTTCTGGATGAACCGGGTGTGGGAAGGGAAAACTTTCGGATGAACCGGGATGAACCGTCGCAACGGGCTCGCGTTGGAAGACGACCCGAAGCATCGTTCACCCAGGGACGTTCTGGAAGCTGCAATTTCGGCACGTCATCCCCACACTGAAACGGAAACGGAAACCGTTTGCGACAGCCAGAAGCACCACATGTGTCGCACATGCATTGCTTTGCGTGCACGTAGTGGCTGTAGGGGCTGTGGAAGTGAATCTGGTGAGGCGACGTGGAGTGGTACGTCAGAAAGCGACGCTTGTCCTCAGTTAGGGACAGAAGATATCGCGAATGGGCGAAGAATTCTTGCGAACCCTTGGCGTTATTGCGCATCGTGTTCCAGCGAAACACATTAGTTCCAGATAGGTGCATAATACTCGAAATCTCTCACTCATTGCCCGTCAACCCTAAAAATATAGTACAAATGCTTCAGACAGGTTCCTCAACAGAAAAACAACAGCGGAGATAACCAAATGCGTACAATTCCTAGAAGGCGGTTTCGTAGCGCGCCGTGCAATCGATCACCGTTGGTCTCATTCTCTTCCTCGTCTAGCGGTCACGATGGCATGCTGTGTGATCCACCTCGCTGCTTCCGCCCTGACTGGTGCTGCTCTGCTCTCCCTCACAATCGGTAGTCTTCCAAGTTGGCGGTATTGCAAGAAGAGGCAGCAGCAGAACCACCGCCAGTGGGTTTGACTGGGGCCTTTTCCGGCGTAAACATCCGTTCTGTTCCGCCTTATTCCTCAGTCCTGATTGTGTTTCGGCCGTAAATTCAAAACCCCTTTTCACAATCTGAGGCGTTCGCCTTGACCCATTGCCTGTGGATTCAAATTTGGGCTTCTTATCGCCAGTCGCTATCATGCCGCACCGACTTCGCCATTCGAGCAACATCCCTGAAGAGGTAGTACTAACTCCAACGACAACCACTGGGGTTTTTTCGCCTATCGCTCGAGAAGAGTCTGCCGACGCTGAAGAACGCCACGGTGACTCGCCGGACGTCGCTCATCCTGCCAGTGGAGCCGAGATTTCAGTGGCAGACTCGGAGGATGGGACAAGGACTCGCTCGGATTCCATCGTCCATGTCGTTTCCGCTCCTTGCACGTTGACCCTCTGCGCTGATCCCGCTTCAGGTAGTAAAACCCCGGCTTTGAAACAACATTTTTCTTTCGAATTCGACATTTTTCTCTAAGGAATGGGAGTTAATTTACTCAGACTTGAACAATTGCAGGATATCACACAGGATCCGCCACTGGTGCAACCAGTACCGCCATGAACGGCGGCAATCACGCGCCCGGAGGAAGATGCTGCGCCGTACCAGCGTCTTCGGCAACCATAGAGGATGTTTTCATCCAGATGGACTACGATTTTCGTCCTGAAGAGGACTCGAACTCCCACGCCACCGTCGGCACCGTTGTTGCTTCTGACGCCGCGTCCAACCCCGTGCTCCCTTCCAAAGGGAAGATGCGGATGCAGACGCAGATGAAGATGCAGATGGAGATGCACAACGACGTAATTTCACAGGCCCAGGGAGGTGAATCACCATCGGCGAGTGAGACGGAAGAGGAGACTCTCAGGGAGCTTCCCAGTCGCCTCAAAGCTCGAGTGAAGAAGTTGTCCGTCAGCCTCAATCAGGTGCAAACATGCAGATCGGATCTGATTTGTGAGATCTCTTATCTGATTGTTGCTGTTTTTAAAGTATATTGGTGGCTTATTCTTGAATTTTGCCTTATTCGTTTGAGAATTAGCCTAGATTTATTCACTGGTGTTTGTTGCTGACTTTTCAGCCGCCCCTCCACGTGTGGGAGTTCGCGGATCGCAAGACCAAAGCGCAGGTGGTGGCGGCAGCAGCTGCTGCAGCGCGTGTGCCGCTCACGAGTGACAAGGGGAGGCAGATCTATGCGGATAAGGCGGACGCCACGCCATTGTGAGTTGAGGATTGGATAACCTGAAATTGATTGTCAGAGCCATGTGAACATTCTTCGATTTTCCATTTAAAGTATTTGGTTAAGGTTGCACCATCTCATCTATTTTTGTATACGTTTGCGCTCATTTTTCTCTGTTTTACAGGGCAAGATCGGCCAACAGCTCTCCGAAACGCCACCATACCCCAGGGTGAGGCCCTTGTGCCAGATCTGAGTGATTCGTGAGTTGATATGTTACCCCATGCCGGTCCCTTTTTTTTTCAGCTAAGGAATGATGCATGTGCCAGAGCTGGGAGATCGATTTGGATTCGCCTTGATTTTGCACCTGACAGATCAGCACAAATCCAACTTCCTTTCTCTATCCCATGCATGCTGTAAGCTCTCGGTTTAACTGCTCTATTCCGTAATACCAATTCCCCGATCTAATTTCTTCATTTTTTTTTCATTTTTTTTTTTCATTTTTCTCCTTTTCTTTTCAGGGGCGGCGGCCGTCGGTCTGTCTTACCATCTCCCCGGTATTTGACACCAAGGTACACATCCTCCCACCGGTCCATCACCTGAACCTCAGAAATCCCTAAAGCACTGTCAATCTTAATTCCATACCCCAAGCATTGCCCTGCCCACTGTCCACCAGTCAGCCGATTTCCTGGTTCACCCCTCCCAACCGTCTCTCTTCCCATCTCCCCCACTCTCCAGCATGAGGTCAGGCTTCACCACTCCCAGCGGAGCCGGGCGGGCAGCGGCAGCGGCGGCAGCAGCAGCAGCTTTCCAGGTGGATCCGATGGTGCTGGAGGCGTGGGACGCGCTGAGGGTGTCGCAGGTGCTCTTCCGCGGCCGCCCTGTGGGCACCATCGCTGCTCTGGACCCCTCTGAGACGGCCCTCAACTACGACCAGGTGTGTGCCGCATGCACTCTACCTAACTGTTTGTAATGGTCCTGGAAAATGCATTCCGTTTCTCTTGCTTATGAGTGTGCAGCAGGTGGATGGTAGGTAGGTACTAGCTGTGCGTCTGCTTGACGTTCCTCGTCTTGCACTTTGCGTCCTTTCCTCTTACATAAATTTTGCTGTCCCTCCCTGTTGTCTTCTTGGTCGGCGGCGTGGCGGCAGGTGTTCGTGCGGGATTTTGTGCCGAGCGCCCTGGCGTTCCTTATGAACGGAGAGGCGGAGATAGTGGAGAATTTCCTGCTCAAGACACTGCGACTGCAGGTACTACTACTGGCACAGTAGTAGGTTTGGGGTTTGGGCTCAGCACTACTAGGTACATTGAAGCCCTTCCCCTATCCACCGCAGCAGTTGGGAGAAGCACGTGGACGCGTTCACTTTTAGGCGAAAGCGTAATGCTGCCGGCGTCCTTCCCGGTGCTGCTGGGAGGGCGGCCACACTGCAGTTACCTCTCACCTCACACTCTCTTATGCTTGCATACCTTCCCTCTGCCCCCTCCCCACCGGACTCCCCACCGCAGCAGTCGTGGGAAAAGCGCGTGGACGTGTTCACTCTGGGCGAGGACGTGATGCCCGCGTCGTTCAAGGTGCTGCTAGGAGGGCGGCCTCCTCATCTCACTCCCTCCTACCCGCATATCTACACCCCCCCACACACACACACACACACTCCCTCCTCTCTTCCGCAGCAGTCGTGGGAGAAGCGCGTGGACGTGTTCACTCTGGGCGAGGGCGTGATGCCGGCGTCGTTCAAGGTGCTGCACGACAGCCGTCGAGGCGTGGACACCATGATGGCGGACTTCGGGGAGAGCGCCATTGGGCGGGTGGCGCCTGTGGATAGTGGCTTCTGGTGGATCATCCTGCTCCGGGCGTATGTCAAGGCCACAGGTGGGAATTTATTCTACCGTATATGGCACGTGGACATGTGGACTTTGACTTTGGGGAGAGCGCCAATGGGAGGGTGGCGCCTGTGGATGGCGGCTTCTGGTAGTTCATCCTGCTCGGGGCGAATGTCAAGGCCACAGGTGGGACTTGAGGGAATGGGTCAAGGTGGCACAGGCATGAGTAGGGTCAAGGTGGCTTTGGGGAGAGCGCCATTGGGAGGGTGGCGCCTGTGGATGGCGGCTTCTGGCGGATTGTCCTGCTCCGGGTGTATGTCAAGGCCACAGGTGGGTGCGTGGGTGCGTGGGTGGGTGGGTGGGTGGGTGCGTGGGTGCGTGGGTGCGTGGGTGGGTGGGTGGGTGGGTGCGTGGGTGTGTGTGTGGCGGGGGAAGGAGGGGGCGCGCATGTCAGCAAAGAATATCGTGAGTGGCATCATGTCCACTGCCCCACCCTGCGTGCTCTTGCGCACACCTGTCCCTGCCATGGCAGGTGACCAGGCCCTGGCGGACTCCCCAGACTGCCAGCGGGGCATGCGGCTCATTCTCAGCCTGTGCCTGGCCGATGGCTTCGACACCTTCCCCACACTGCTGTGCGCCGATGGATGCTCCATGATCGACCGCCGCATGGTGAGACGCCCTGGTTGGGTTTATCCCAGGTATGGTGAGACCCCTTGGCTGGGCCTTATTTCCGTAGAGCCCCCTAGGACCTGAATCCACGCATGTTGATTGTACTGTTGCGTGCTGCATGGAGGGAACATGCGGCAGAGTGCACTCCCCCTGATTCGCAGGGTGCTGTGCCTCAGAGTGCCAGTTCACATGTTCCCTGTTCCCTCATTCTCATCCTCGTTACAGGGAACATGTGAACTGGCGCACACGAGGGTTTCGTTCTCATCACCCCCACATCTTCACGGCGCTAAGAGCTTCGTTTCTCTCCCCCTCCTCCCCCGCCCCTGCCCTCATTCTCATCCTCGTTACAGGGCATCTATGGGTACCCGATAGAGATCCAGTCCATGTTCTTCATGGCATTGCGTGTAGCGCGCTGCCTGCTGCGCTCGGACCTGCCGGAGAACAAGGAGCTGCTGGACCGCATCGACAAGCGCCTCATCGCGCTCTCCTACCACATGCGCACCTACTTCTGGTGCGTCTGCCGCTGCTGGATTTGGGTTGTTCTTTGGGGTTTTTAATCTATTCTATGGACACTGGTCTGCTGCTGCGCTCGGACCTGCCGGAGAACAAGGAGCTGTTGGACCGCATCGACAAGCGCCCCATCGCCCTCTCCTACCACATGCACACCTACTTCTGGTGCATGCGCGCTGCCCCTCTCTCTTGCTGCTCTTGGCTTGCTCTTGGCTTGCTCTTTGCTGCTCTGTGCGTGCTATTTGCGCCGCAACCCTCCCTTGCCCTCTCCCCTCCCCCTGCTCTCTTCTTCCGCCCCCCTGCACGCCAACCCTTTCACCCTTCCCTCCTGTTCCTCTCCCTCCTGTTCCTCCCAGGCTGGACCACGAGCAGCTGAACAGTGTGTACCGGTACAAGACGGAGGAGTACTCGCACACGGCAGTGAACAAGTTCAACGTGATCCCGGAGTCCATCCCCGACTGGCTCTTTGACTTCATGCCGCTCAAGGGAGGTTACTTCATCGGGAATGTGTCTCCTGCACGCATGGACTTCAGGTAAAGATCCTCTCAACTTGACTACTCTCAACTTGATTCTCCCGACTTGATTCAATTGGCGTGAAGGGGAGCGAAGAGGGGGGTATATGGTTGATTTTGCTTCTGCTTGCACTTTTTTACATATCCTGACTCACTGCATTCTCCTCTTGCCATGTCTCCCACGGCGCCATGGTTGCTCGCAGGTGGTTCGCCCTTGGGAACTGCATGGCCATAGTGTCGTGCATGGCGTCGCCGGAGCAGGCAGAGGCGATCATGGACCTGATTGAGGAGCGCTGGGACGAGCTGGTGGGGGAGATGCCGCTCAAGATCGCGTACCCTGCACTGGAGAACCATGACTGGCGCATCACCACTGGATGTGACCCCAAGAACACCCGATGGAGCTATCACAATGGCGGCTCATGGCCAGGTAAGTACGACAACATTTCTCAACGCTTTCCAACCCTTTTCTTCACATGTAGAGCATTTATTCATGTCTTGGTTTACGAAGCTGATGTGCTTATCTCTGATGTGCTTCTGCAGTGCTGATCTGGATGCTCACAGCTGCGAGCATCAAGGTGGGCCGGCCCCATGTGGCTCGGAAGGCCATTGAGGTGGTGGAGCGCCGCCTGGCTAAAGATGGGTGGCCTGAGTATTACGATGGGAAGCTGGGTAGGTATGTTGGAAAGCAAGCCAGGAAGCAGCAGACGTGGAGCGTGGCAGGTTATCTTGTCGCTAAGATGATGCTAGAAGATCCCAGCCACTTGGGGATAATTGCATTAGAGGAGGAGAGGAAGCTCCAGCAGCCTGCACTCACGCGTTCTCGATCATGGAAGGTGTGAGGCATTGAATAATTGTTTGGAGGCAGAGCCAGGATGTTGGCCATCTATCAGTGTACTCTAACAGGTTGCGTATCCTGTGTATCATATTTTGCTTCAGAAGTAAATCTTGACCCTTCCCACGCAAGAAGTTGCAATATAGGGTATGACATGGAAATGCTGTGCCTGTGCCCGTCCACCCTAGCTGACCGGCTGCCATACCATCCCCCATCCCGTCCGCCACTGGCACCTCCCCCAGCTGGCCGTCTGTTTGACCATGCCCTGCGAGCATTGCATCTCATTCGGATCACTGACCATGAGGGAATCTGCCCGGCCGATACTGCTTGACTCTGTCCCTTCCCCGCCACTCCGCATGACTCTCCGTTTCGTAAATCATTCAAGTTGACGGCACGGCAGTGTCGTTGGGCGCAGCCGCGTCCCACGCTGTCGCACGCTCTCGCGAACAGCAACCTTCTGAAGCAACACCGAAACAGGAGAAGTGTGCTGGCGCATAAGTATTTTCCTACACTATGTTGTATTGACGGCACCCAACTGAAGATGTTCCCTAGGGTTCCTCTCCACGATACTTAGGGCGTGTCCCATTTTTGTGAACATGAAGCGAAGACCAGACATTAGCGAAAGTAACCATTTTAACGATGCTCGTCAAACCATCTAGACAGCCCGGAAATTACCATCCCACAGGTTGTGACACCCCCAAAATACCTGTTCTCCCCTTGTTCATTACAGTATTGGTTAGCATGGTCGCCCCTCGCGAAGCTCTGCGAAATATTTTGTCGAAATGGGTTCGGAAAACCGAATGTCATGAATTTGTGACACGCCCTTACCATCCATGCGCCCTTTTATGTGTTAGACAAGGCACACACAGAACAGTACAGTTCACATATCCACGTGTCCTGTTCAACCATCAGGGGAGGAGTTCCCTAGGCTATTTCATTACACCCGTCCCTGCACAACAGCCATTTAGGTTATTTTATCTCCCCTCCCTCCCCCCACATGGTTCGACCTCCGCTTCTCGTCTCCAGCCATGGCACTTCCCATGCCGGCCTCACCATTCCGGCGTGACTCTGCGATAGAACCAGTAAACGTACATTTAGATTGCGGCTTCGGGCTCATTGGTGTTTATGCTGTTTCGCATCCAATTTCGGGCGACGTGAAACAAGGGCGTCGCACAGTATTCATGAGCTGTATTAGGTCATCACAAGGTTTTCAACTCCGTCGCATCACCAGCAGCTGCGACTTTTGAGTCGCCGCAAGAGCAGGCCCTACAGGCGGAGTTTGCTTCCAAGCTAAGCATAGCATACCACAGTTCTGCTCACATTACAATAGTGCTTACAATACCGCTCACAGGTCTGCTCACAGTTCTGCGAACCCCATGGCGACTCTCAGCGGGGTCGCCGGCGACTCTTTCGCGGAAAACCGTTTCGCCGAGACGCTCGGCCACGAACCGTTGCCGAATCGTACGGCTGGTAATGGCGTCAGCGGCACTGAATGGCATAGCAGCAACACCGCGCACCCGCAGCAGCAGCAGCATCATCATTATCAGCAGCAGCAGCAGCAGCAGCAGCAGCATCATCATTATCAGCAGCAGCAGCAGCAGCAGCGACAGCAACAGCAGCAACAGCAGCAGCAGCAGCAGCAGCAGCAGCAGCATGCGCTAATGGGGTCGTTAGGTCCCATGCCAGGAACCGGCACGGGTGGCGAGGAAACCCTTTTAGTGGATTTGCGCGGCTTGAAAGAACGCTCTAATCGCAGTGCGACGTCTGTCGCAGACTTCCGTCGGCAGCACATGGTGCGATTCTTGCGCGACGCCACCGAGCTAGCGCACCAGCCCGCGCAGCCGGCGGAAGCGGACGTGGCGGAAGGGGGGGCCAGCGCGCAAGAGCGAGCGCCAGGCGCGCAAGAAAAGGCGCAATGCGCGGAGCAGGAGCGTAGCAGAGCGGGGAACCAGGGCGCGGGAGGGTGGGGCAGCGGCTTTACTAGCCATATAGCAGGGGCAAGAGGCAACGCGGAAGGGGAGGCTGGGGGGGGCAGCCGAGGTGCAGATGTTTGCGCGAACGAAAGCGCTGGACGCGCCGACAAGGGGAGAGAAAACCGTGGGGAGGATAGCGCTGGGGGTCAGGGCGGAGCGGGGCTTTGGGCGGCGCAAGCAGGCGCGGGGAGTCGGGAGACGGGGGGAAATGCCGCCTATGGGCTGGAGGCTGCGGGTAGAGAGGGAAACGCGGCAGGGGGAAGCGCGGTGTCCCCCCCCGGACGAGGCGATGGGGGAGTAGGCGGAGGCGAAGCGAGACCTGGGGGAGCGAGTGGAAGCGGGGAAGCGGGACGGAGAGGCGGAAGCGGAAGCGGAGCGGATGCGCGGATGGAGGTGAGCGCGTATGCCAACAGCGTGTCCGTGCTGCGGGAGGCTACAGGCGCGGGCGGGGGAATGGGGTGGGGGGAAGGGCTGGGGGCGGGCACATCTGGCAGGAGCGGCGGGCTGAGGGGAATAGGGGGCCGGGAGGAGGGGGGTCAGGGCAGGGAGGGTCTGAGCACGCAGGAGGGGAGCCAAGGTTTGGTTTCACCCAGGGGCGGCAGGGAGCCCGGGGAACAAAGGCAGGCGATGGCAGGGCATTCGAACGAATATGGTGGTAACATGCCGCTTGTTACAGGTCACTCGGCGCAGGTTCAGTCGGCACACTTTCCTCAGCAGCAGCAGCCGCAGCAACCGATGCAGCAGCAGCCGATGCAGCAGCAGATGCTGCAGCAGGTGCAGGGAGCAAGGGGTGAGTTTCAGCCGCAGCATGTGGGCCATTCTCTGTCGTTCGACGCTCAGGAGCGGCAGCACTATCACCAGCAGCAGCAGCAGCAGTACCAGCAGCACCAACAGCAGCAGCAACAGCATTACCAGCAACAGCAGTACCAGCAGCAACACCAGCAGCGACACCAGCAGCTGTCCTACCAGCAACCCTCCCATCCGCAACAGCAGCAACCACCGCCACTCAGCTACTCCGCCCAGTCACAACCCTTGCCTGCTCACTTCCCGGCCGCCATACCCACACTCCCCCACCGCGCCACCCTGGATCCGCACCCCCACCGCTCCTCCCAACCCTTCTCCCTCACCTTCCTCACATCTCTCTTCCGCCGAGACCCCCTCCGTACCCGCTCCTCCCGCCGCTCCCGCCATGCCGCCAGCCACGGGGAGGGCGGCCCGCTGTCCGAAGCAGAGCAGATCCCCGTGCCGCCCCTGGATAAAATCCTGAACGTCCCCCGTAGCGTCGCCTCTGACACCGCCTCTCGTGCCATGGGGACTGGCTTCTCCTCACCCCCTGCTCCCCCCTCGTTCCCCGGCGGCAGCAACGTCCCCCTAGGGGCGACGTTCCCCCCCAACCGCCCCCACCACAACTCTGCCCTTCCCTCCCCTGCCCAGCCGTCCCCCCCTAGCGCCGATCCCCACTCACTGTGGTCGTCCTCCCCGTACGAAAGTGCGGGGACGAGGATTGAGGAGAGGGAGGGAGCGGAAGGGTTGGGGAGGGGGCTGGTGGGCGGAAGCGGAAGGATGTGGGGGGGGGGGCTCCCTGGGGGAGGAGAGGGGAGGGATGGGGGAAAGGCGGAGGGGGTGGGGTGTGTGCGGCCAATGATGCCGCGATGGGTGACGCCCCCACGACGGTTTTGGGGGGGGAGAGGGGGAGGGGAAGTGGCAGGGGCTGGCGGTGGTGGAGGAGGGGGAAGGGCAGGGGAGGAGGAGCGTCATAGGGTGAATTACGCAGGGAACGGGCAACTTGACGAGGTGAGAGTTGCGGGTGGTGAGAGTGGTGCGAGCAGCGAAAGTAGTGCAAGTGGTGAGAGTGGTGATCACTCACGGGCATTGATATGCCTCCATGTACCAAAGGGGCGCACAGAAGGCTAACCATAGGAAGTCACAGCTCTGGAAAGAGAGAGATGCGTTTGGATGAAACGAAAGCTTGCGTTCCCTGTCCATTGCCCTTGTAACCCACTGGCTGTCGTTCCTGACTGTCCTCTGTCCCGTTGCCCTGGGTGTGCTCCCTTCATACACCGTTCCCTGCTCTACTTCTGTTTCCCCCTTCTTTGCACGTGCGTGCGCCTGTGTGTGTGTGTGTGTGTGTGTGTGTGTGTGTGTGTGTGTGTGTGTGTGTGTGTGCGCGCGCGCGTGCGTGCACACGTGTGTGCATGGTGTTCGTGTGGTGTGTCCTTGGGACTGTATACATGTGTGTGTTTGTGTGTGTATGCGAGTGTGAGGCCATGTGCACTGTATATCTTCATTGCTCCAGATGTCCCATCCCTCATACCACCACACCGCCCATCGCTGACACCACATCAACCCCAAGAATCCCCCAAAGCCAGTACCCGCTCTGATTTGCTCCTCGGTCTGCTTGGGTTCTAAATGCTCCCTCCTCCCACCTTCCAAGCGTTGAGGGGAGGGCAGGGCAGGGCACGTCTTTTTTCTCAATTCTCCAACTGTCTCCAGCCATCCCCCCTTGGAACAACTTTCTGTCTACCTTTTATAGGCTCAGTTGATTCTCTTTGCTGCTGATCCTAAACCATCTTGCTGCCTTCAGGCAACGTGTTATTTGTTGCAACAGATACTGTTATGTAGTGTAGATGTCTCTCTCTCGATGTTTTTTAGCTCACTTGCTTTGTTAGGGCTGGCTCGTAATGGGCCAGACACTTGGCGAGGAGCCAATGAGATGTTTGCTTGCGGGCAATTTATTTCATATGCAGCAGTACAAAAATATATTGTGAACAAGCTAGAATGCCTAAATATAGTGATGTGATGACATGTGAGATTTTGTAAAGGGGCAATTATTTGTAAGTTGTGTTATCCTATAGCCTCATGAGTGTACCATCATTTATTTCTCCTCCATTCTGCTATGTTTACTTGGCCTCGGCCAGTAAATAAGTCACCGCACTTACCGCACCCAAGGTTCAGCCTACCACCTCACATCCTCCCTCCTGCTACCGCCAGGAGCGGCGCTCCTCCACCGCCTCCTTACTGCAGCCCCTCCTCTCCCCCCCCCCGCCGTCCCCCCACCAACAGTCCCCTCGCCTGGCGCGTTTGCTCTGGCTAGTAGTCTTTCACTTCATGCAGAAGTTCATGCAGTCGCGGCGCTGGCTGACAGGCGCCTTGCGCGTGCAGCACTTGGAGCACTTTTTGTTCTTCTTCGCCTGGGAATCGTCCGCGTTGTCCTCGTCGAGCACGCACGACCGCCACTTGGCGTTCGCCGGCGCCGCCTTGGGGATCAGCTTCGGCGTCGCGGCGTTGCGGTTGATCACCGGCAGCTGCGGAATCCAGGTGCCAAGCCCGATGTAGTCCGTCGTCAGATACTTCTTAACCTGCCGCGCCGACATCACCCGCTGCCACCACACGCGGCCTTCCAGCACGCTGCCCATCCCGCGGTTCTTGTGCTCAGAGTAGAACGTCGTCAGTCTTCTAGCGGGGACGGTGAAATCGCTCCAGCCTTCGGGAGCGACGACATTGTCTAGGGACGAGTACGCGAAGATAGTGCACGAGTATTTCCCCCACGCGCGGCCCAGCCACCCCTGATTCTTCCCCGTGACGTGCGAGTTCATGATCACGAAACACGTGTCCTCCGTCGGTAGGTCCCGCTTCTGCGCCGTGACGGCGGCGGTACCCATCGAGTCCATGTAGAAGGTGCACGAATCGAAGATGGCGCGCGCGCCCCCGAAAACGAAGTCCATTTCGCCGAAGATGTAACCTGGCGAAAGTAGACAATGCGGCGCTCCGATAGGGAGCAAGGAGCAGTTAGAGCTGGTGAGCGTTGGTTAGGGTATTGTTGTGAATATGCGTCAAGGGAAAAGCGTAAGCGGTTACTTACAGTCCTTATAATACTGGAAGCCCTCGTGCGCGTATAGAGTGTCCTGGTAGGAGAAGAAGCTGCAATTGTACACCACAGTGCGATTGCCGCTAGCGCGGAAAGCAACGGCTTGGAATCCGACGGTGGCGGGTGGCGGGCGCGGCGAGGAGTTCTCGAGAATCATGTTGATCATTGTGAAATCATCGCCCAACGCGGCTACAGTGCCCGTACCCGCTGCAATGTGGTGCATTTCGAAAAGGGCGAGAGGAAACGCACATTGTCAGAACGAATGGCAAACGAAGGACGAACTCAGGGAAAGCCGAAACCACAACGGATGGAGATGAAGGTGGGAAACGACGACAAGGGCAGAAACGAAAGCACGAAAGGAGATGATGTGGGGGAGGGGGGGGGGGGGCAGGTAGGTGGCGATGCGTGTGGAAGCTAACCTGTGCCGATGGGGTTGCCATTTGCGTCGAGCTTGGCCGAGTACTTGTTGAACTTGACGCGAGTGAGTCCGGGCTCGCCAATCAGCGTGATGAATCGCTGCCAGCGCGAAAAAAAAAAAGTCGAGAGCAAGCAAACGAGCGGGGATAGCGGGGAGAGCAAGCAAGTGGATAGAGAACGCCGAGTGAGGCAGGAGGAGAATGAATCGACCATGGGTTCCGGGGAGAATGAATTGACGAACATATGAACATCTGAGTCGACTCAGAAGAAGTTGTTCTAAGAGAAGAAGTTGTTTTGGGGCCGAGGATTCGTACATGAGAGGATGGAATCACGACTTCCTCCAAATATGTCCCAGCCCTGACGAAAATGACCGTCTTCACGGGTTTCACAGAATACGGCGTCACGTAGTTAATCGCCTCTTGTATCGTCCTAAAATTCCCCGAGCCATCCTGAGCGACTATGATATCTGGAGTCGCACCAGGGTTCATGGGCCCTGACCATGCCGCCTTATGCGCAAAAACCGACTCGGCTACTTTTGAGTGCGGATTCGCTGATGGATCGCCCAGAAATGCTGGGCTAGGTGACGGAGCAGCAGCAAAAGCAGCAGCAGCAAAGGAAGAACAAGCGACCAATTGCAATAGCAGAATAAGTCGGAGAGCCATTGCTGTTGATGCTGGGAGCTCAAGTTCGCGCAGACGCCTTATGGAGGAGGAGTAGGCTAAGTGGGCTATGGAAAGTAATGTTTCTGGGAGCGATCATGAGACGAGGTGATGGAAGCATACGAGGGGCTAATGTGGGGCGCAAGGAATTGTTGAACAACGGTTGTCAAATGGTTTGGGGGGATCGCTCATAATATATCGAGTTGAGGGCCAATGTGGTTGGTCGAGGGAATTTGAGGCTGGGTTAGTTGGGGGTGTGCCATGCTTTCCAATTTTCCAAAATTGCGATGCGCTACGCGGTTCGGCATGTGGTGCTTGGTGCGGCTCGTGACACCACAACGTCGCCATCAAGGACGGTGGTCGTCCGCGACAGGAAACTCGCCTCGCTGGATTTCGCATCACTGGAAAAGGTGCTAGGGGGAGGCAGGGGGAGAAGGTATCACCCGAGGTAACAACGACAGTCGTGATTTCGCCAATGAAAAGCCGTTCCCAATACGATAAGCGGCTTCGCAAGAGATGGGCGAAACTCGAAAACGAACGTCAAAGTTTCCACGTCCGTGAGGTTGAGTGAACTGTGGCAGTCGGAAAAGTGGCGACCCATAATTTACCATTTTCTTCTTTTGCACGACGATGGAGTGTGAGACACCTTTGTCAGGGCCGCGGACTTTTGCCAAGGGATACTGGCGGGTTGCACCGAGCCCTCGTAAAACACCGACAAGCAACCATCACCGACGGGGCCCACCATATAAACCTACACCCCATTGCCAGCACTCCAGTACACTATCGCAAAGTGTAGTTAATTAAAACAAAAATTAGTTACACACATAAAACTATGAAGAGAAGCATACACAAATATGTAATTAGATAGGCCAGCTTTCCGTCCTCTCCCTTTCGCCCTTACCTACTAGGTACTAGCATTGTGATGCCCACACCTTTCATGCCCCCTGCAAGCCTTCATCTTGTTCCTTGTGTTCCTCATCAATGCCTTGGATATGTCGTGATATGATTCATACTTAAAGCTCGCGGCCCAAATTGCGAGGCGCGACCTTCAAACGCACTGCGTTTGAAAGTCGCGTTTTCGTGGGTGTAGATGGGGGTAACGTGACTCGCGTCACTCGGGGCTGGCTTTCAAGTTCAGCGCGGAACGTATTTTGGGACACCAAGTGCCTCGTGTTTATTAGCCGTCCAATATTTGTCGATTTCCATCTAACGGCGCGCAAGTAAAGTGCTTCCCCCAGTCAATCGAAATGTAATCTCAGCCGTCGCACTGTCTGCTTGCAAATCGGACGATCTACGACAAATCACGAATTCGCGACATGAAAAACCCTCACGATTTTTTTTTGTGTATTTCGTCCAGGCCGAGGCTCACAGTTCATACGCAGTGCGTATGAACAATTTGGGCCGCGGGTTTTAAGTGTCGCATTTCTGTAAGTCGATTAGCGATAGAAAGTGTCGAATCCTACTGTAGAAGAGAAGTCCGTAGGATGACGTCGGCAAATAGCGCTCGTCATGAGGACAGTCGTCTCAGTCACGCAAACAGTTGCGTCTCTTCAATCTCACTTAGGGCGCATAGCGCTATAGTGTCAACATGTATATCAACGAACACGTACTTCTGTTAGGTATTGCTGGGCTGAGAAAAGCCCTAGGATATTTTCAGAAACTAAGTCCCACTTGTATGGAATGCTTGAGTAGTGCAACGGAAGTGTTGAGTAGTTGAACCATTGCACTAGTGTGTGAGAGCAAGTGATTGATTAAAAGAAGCAAGCATACAGGAATATATAGAAGATAGGAAAGTAAAGTAGTTGTAGAATACAGTTGAAGGAACGGTTATCGAGTCGCATAGCGACTCGATTGTCGGTTTGGTTACTACCCTTGCAGTTGTAACGGTCAGTCGCAACCTCTGGTTGCAACCCTTCGAGTCCTTTTCGTCCTTTCGTCTTCTTTCGTCCATCTCCTCGTGTAACCTCCATTGACTCGCGTACCCGTTACGACTTTTCTCGAGTGTAGTGTTAGACTTCAGAAACGCTTAAGTCCTCGAGATATTTCCAACACTCCTGTTCGTTTCTGGAGTGCTGACGTGTCCCAATTCGGTGACGTTTATCTGCCCGGTCAGCAGCATGCAGTAATCGAACTTTGCTTTTGCCAGTTTCTTCGTCAAGTAATCTGCAGCCATTTCTGTCGTAGGACAGTAACTTAGTTGAAGTCTCCCTTTCGCGATCTCATCCTTGACGAAGAAGTACCGTAGGGCGATGTGCTTGGTTCGATTGGCGAACCCGTCTTTGTTCGCGATTTTGATCGCGGATTGGTTGTCGCAGAATAGCGAGAAGGCGGACATGGTCGCAATTTTCGCTTCCTCGAGCAGCTCCCGTAGGTAAAGTCCTTCTTTGGTTGCAGTGCAGAGAGCGATATATTCCGCTTCAGCCGAAGATAGTGCGATTAATTCCTGCTTGCTCGATTTCCAGGAGATAGTCCCGATAGGTTCTAGTCGGTAGATGTAGCCCGTTCTGGAGCGATGGTTCTCCCTATCTCCCGCGTGGTCGGCGTCGACATAGCCGAGTAGTTGTACAGACGATGTTGTTACTTTGCTGTAGGTAAGTCCAGTCGTCGGCGTAGAGACGAAGTAGAGCAGTGCCCGATTTAGTTCCTCGAGATCCTCTTGCTCCGGCTGCTTCAGGTGTGTTGCCAGTTGGCTTGCGCTGTAGGACAGGTCCGGTCGACAGGTTACTGCTGCGAACAGTAGACAGCCGAGCTTCTGTTGATATTCCTGGATTTGCTTTGCGGGGAGTTTTGCGGAGGTGTTGCTGTTGTTCCCGTAGCGGTAGGGAGTTGCGACAGTGACTGGCATTAGGTCGAATTTCTTCGCGGCATGTGGGTAGAGCGCTGAGTCGTCTTCGACGATGTTTAGACCTAGGTATTGGCTCACGGTGTCTGACACCGTGAGTGTTAAATCTCTCCTCAGCTCCCCTTCGAATTCGGTGGTGATGTCGGTAGTGGAGCCGACATAGAGTAGATCATCGACGTAGACGATGAGTAGGACGAAATCCCCCCCCTTCTGTAGTCGGTACATGCCTTGATCGTGCGGCAGCTGCAGAAAACCGATCTTGACGAAGCGGTCGTGGAGGTGCTGCTGCCAGAGCCGCGGGCCTTGTTTAATTCCGTAGAGGGATTTCATCAGCTGGCACACCTTTGTGGGATCGTCGATGAATCCGTGGGGCTGTTCGACGAAAATTTCGGCGTCCACAGGTGCATACAGGAAGGCGTTGGCGACATCGATCTGGCGTAGTGGTATCTTTTTCGTGGCCGCGTCGGCGAGCAAAATGCGCAGGGAAGTGTGTCGGGAAACCGGGGCGAATGTCTCCGTGTAGTCGGTTCCATATCGCTGGTTGAATCCTCGTACGACCCAGCGAGCTTTGAAGCGGCCGATGGAGCCATCCGCATTGGTCTTGATGCGGTACACCCATTTCCCCGAGAGCACATATTTCCCGTTGGCTTTTGTCGCAGATACCAGCTTCCACGTATTTCGGTCTTGCAGGGCCTTCAGTTCCTTTTCCATTGCTTCCTTCCATTTTGCCTTGTGTTCCCCCCCCAGAGCCTGCGACAGAGTCGATGGCTCGCGTGGTGACGGTGTTGGCGGGTTCTGGACGACGACCCATAGTCCAAGTATCTGCAGGCCCGTGGGTGTGTGTCGAGGGGAATTGGTATTCTCGGGATAAGCTGCTTCGTCACCGTCTTCAGGATCAGGTAAGAAATTGGGTCCGATGCGTTCAGAGACATTTGTGTCGACTTGTTGAGGTGTAGCATAACCCTGGTCAGCAAAGTGGTAATAGGTGTCGAGATTGTTACTATCGAGAGGATTGTCGTCGTCGAGTGGAACGGGCACGGAGCAGTAAGGGAGTGGTCTGGCAGCTTCCGAGGCTCCAGGTACGTTTCCTTCTGCTGTGTCAGCTTCGGCAGCACGGTCGGCGAAGGACCGATGGCCTTCGAAGCCGTCGGTGGGGTCGTCTGTGGTGGCGATGTTGTCCAGGTAATGTTGCAGCGTCAGTCGCTCGTAGAAAATCACATCACGTGAGGCCACGGTGGTTTTGTCATGAATGTCGAGAAGTTTCCATGCTTGGAAATGTTTTGCGATGCCGAGGTGTAGTCCCCACCGTGCTCGTTGAGAGAATCGACCTGCTCGGGCTGTGTGGGGTCTGTACTGTACCATGCAGCCGAAGACTCAAAGTAATTTTGTGCTGCCCTGTTTTCCTGTCCATAGCAGGTACGGTGACGCGCTGTTGGGAAGTGATGACGAGGAAAGCAAATTGTGCAGGTGGACTGCATGCATCATCGCATCAGGCCAAAGTGTGTTGGGCAGTCTCATCCCAAGGAGCAGCTTCCGCATCGTTGTTTGCAAAGTTTGGTTCATCCTCTCTGCGACCCCCTGCTGCTGGTGAGCGTAAGGCAGGGACACCAGGCGTCTGATGCCTCTTTCTGCTAAGTAGTTCCTGAATCGTTGTGACTGGTACTCCAGTGCTCCGTCTGACTGGACGTTCTTGAGTTGCGAGCCCGATTCTCGTTCAGCGATGGACAGCCATGCCGTGAAGGCTTCGAACGCTTGATCGCGTGTCTTGAGGTTGTAGTGCCAGACGTATCGTGTTGCTGTGTCGATGAACGTTATAACATAGTTGTACTCTGCTTCACTGTCGTCTCGAGGCATATTTAAGATGTCGCTTTAGACTTTTTCCATCGGTGCGTATGCAGGTGCGCTTGGATTGTGGTGCAACAAAAAAGGTTGGTGGGGAAGATCGGCTTCGGGGCACGTAAAGCATCGTGCGCGGGGTCGTCGAAGTTCCTGGCCGCTCGTTGTGAGAAGAGCGTTTTTTTTTCGAACACTCCGGCTTGTATTGTTTGTAGCACGGTGCTGTTTGCAGGATGCCCGAGGCGTTGATGCCAGATGTCGTCGGGAGCGCGATGGCCGAGTGAGCGCTGGTATATGTCGGCGTTGGAGAAGAATGCGACGACTGTTGCAGGACTGCGGCAGATTCCTCGGGTGATGGGCATGAGTTGATCTGCTTCGGATGGCGGTCCTCGAATTGCTGGTGATGGCGTACGGCTGGGTCCTGCTGCTGCAATTACAGGTGATGTCATGTGAGGACTCTATTGAGTTGTAGTATGACGTTTGT